ACATGGATAAGTATTTGTGCTGATGCCGATGCATCGAAATGGCACAAGAATTAAACCTGAGAGAACGCCTAGTCAAAGTCTGGTTCCAGAACCAGAGGATGAAGTTCAAAAAGGAAGAGGAACAAAGGGCGTCATCGCCTACTCGGACATTCCCTTCATCTACTCCTAGTCAAACCAAATCAGGAATCCAAACGATAAGGGCTAAGCATCATTTGGTGACTAAGAGGCAGGTTGGCCACAACAGGTGCATGCCAGAAACGATACCGAGAAATCCGTCGGTAGGTCACGTTTCGTGTAACCAGCCTCAAAGTTCGTATCAACGTCTCCAAGGAGATACGATCTATCAGAAACACATGCCACAGAATACACTCAACTACTATCCTGTGCATCTCGGACAGAATAAGCCATGGTATCAGCTTTACCTCAACACTGATTGGGCCGATGAATATTTATTTAATATACACGTAGATGCCACTAAGGGTCTAACTAGTTTGTAGGTTTATTGTATGTACTTTAATTTCTGTGTAAAAATGTAAGCAATAAACTGACTTTCTAGTACATTATGCTCGTCTTCAAAAATATTCGTACCTTGTCGCTCCTAAACAGGTAAACAAGTCAAAAATACGGACTCACTGTTCATTTTGCAACGATTGACAGAACAAAAGGATATAAGCACCCTTCAAAACTCCAGGTACAGAAATCCTAGACTCAAAATTACTGAAACTGTGCCCTAAGCTGATCACGAAAAGTAAAAGCGATGAAATTTGAAAATATGTGCACTCGTTAATATTCTTATGAAAGGTTATTAACAACCAATACTGATGTCCATATATTCTAAATCGCCTGTCAGTTAATAACGTAATTTATGGCACAAAATTCATTGGCTTTAATTTTAACAAACACAAAATAATATTAAGTTGACTTTGGAAACAGAAGTCTGTTTACTTACTTTCCTGTTCACATTTGTTTTTTTTGAAATTTTCGCTTTAAGGTGTATGAATTAGAAATAAGAAAATGTATCTACAAGTTGGTTGGGCGGGTACCCACAGCTGAGATCTGTCGAATATTGCAGAATGCAAACATTCCACGCATAATCATTTATCGAACAATAGCAGAGTGCGAGCAGGAGTTCCATGTCTGTATCACCCAAAAACTTACACTTACTGCACGGAGGTCAGGGAGATTGGTGATAAGAGCAAAAAATCGGATTTGAATGTCAACAAGGAACTGGCTCGTCAATACAGATCTTCTAACAGTACGACATCGTCGAAATTGAGGAGGAATGGTCTTATATATCGAAACAGACTTGAGTGCCCCAAATACTAAATACCCTCAAGCGCAACTCCTTCATATACCAAGATGCTGTCGTCATCTTTGCCAATGGAAAAATCATTACTTTAAGACAACGCCGAAGAATGGCCTGACAATGTTAGATACAAACATGAAGCGAAATTTGCAGATAAAATCCATGGTGACCATTTTCTAACAGGGGTGTATCCCAACCTCTTGTGGGAAGAGTGAGGGGTAAAGGTTTGAATAGTCAGAGCTACGAATGACCATGTCATGTTTAGACAGATTGTGCCATTACTCAAGAGATACCCAAAACTGACTTCGACAACACATACCTTGTCTTCCCAAAAACGATAATTCTCTAAACTTCCGGCTTGCTCGCCCAATAGACGATTTTTGGAATTTACTGTTTAGGAAGGATTATCATAGAGACTGGGAAGCCCAACAAGGTGTAGAACAATTAAGACGGCGAATTTACGAGACATTGAGAGAAATTGATCTGAATTCCGTCCAGGACCTCATGAGAGACATACGAAGAGAGTTGCATCTGGTACATAATTCGATAGTATAGTTTAGTTAAGCATTGAGTTGTAATTTATGATAACTAGTTAGTGTTTGAATACATTTCTTCATTAAATAAAATCTGATAAATATATTGTGCTAAAGCTTTTACCACATACGTTATAAAAGATGTCTCACCAGAAACATCCCAACTCCCAGGACCAACGTACTTCTGCATTACCCCTTATATT